TTATAAGAGGAGTTATTTGAAGGAATTCAGAAGATACATCAAAGGACACACATGTCACAAAAACCTATATTTAATAATCTTTTGAAAGAGAAAAGAGAAGCTTGATGCCGCAATGGCAGCCGTGGGTGGCCATGCTTGGGGGATCCCATGAAAGGCCTCGGTTGGCTGCAGCAGGTTTCAGTGAGGCTGACAGGATATTTCCATGTCTGTTTCCTCTCAGTTGACACCTTCTGGTCAAGCTTCCTGTGTGTGGCTAGAGTTCTCAAATACACCACCCACAACAAAGTTCCTTGATTTGAATTAGGTTTCTTGGAGTGGGGGTAGTAGGAGGTGGACTCAACACCCAGGCATTCAAGAGGGTAGTGACAGCCACAGCTATTTGGTTTAGAGAGTCTCATCATTGTCTAAAACAGCAGAGGGACAAACAAAAAGTATTAAAGAGAAAAATACAAATCCATGAAAAATAGAGAACCTTGAGTTGGAAGGCACTTTTTTTTCCCCCAACTCTGTTATTTTGCAGATGAGGAAACAGAAGCTGAGAAAAAGTGAATAATTAGCTCTAGGAAGAATCACAAGGTGAATGTAGGCTTCCTGACTTTTAGTCATACCACCTCATAGGCTGACTTCTCTGGAGAAAAATCATCACACCAGTGTTATAATATTTGATGCAGTTAGTAAAAACTGCTTTTTCCCCTTCACAGATTCTTTTCAAAAGAGCAGATTGAAAGAACAAGAAAGTATGTGTCAAATTAAAAGGGGCTATAATTTGGTTACATATAATTGAATTCTTAGAAGTCTGAAAAGAATCTGTTATACATATATATATAATTTCTGAGCATTAAAATTGTGAATTATGGAGTGAAATAAAATATATTTGAATTGCCACTGGAGGTCATTAGGGTAAGACTCATACATTTAATAAAATGTCCTCTGTCTAAAAATTAGCAGTTTGTTTATCTTTATGTGCTATTTTCCCTAATGAGTGCATGTGGGGTAAAAAAGAGTTGGTAGAAATTATCTTTGGCATATGCTTGAAAAATCAGCTTTGCCATGCACTTGAAAAAATGAAGGGGAAAATCAGAAAGAGTATGATGTAAATTATCTTTATGGCTGTGTCCTATGTGGCTTTGTTTAAACATCTTCAGGCCAATTGAGACCAGTCATTAAATAAACTCATATGTTAATGCAATAAAGGCAAAATGATTTTAAACTTCAGTGTTACCTTGATTTTTTATAAGTATTATTTTCTCAAATTTCAAAGGAAATTTTAAAAGAACAGGTAGAATCTGTAATTAAAATTAATTTTGAATAAGTAACTAAAAGCAAGATTCAAATAATCTTAGCAATAACACTTTAGTTCAGTTGTCCCATCACCAATTGTTTAGAAATTGGTGATTTCTGGATTATGATAGTAGCTATTCACCATAATGATAACCTAGTTGAAGGGTCTAAGTTTTTGTTTAGCAAAAATATATGGTGTAAGGAAAGGAAAAGACTCTCAAATTGAAGCATAGGAATTTGTGAAAAGTTATGATCAAATATCTGACTAGTCAAATGAGATAGGGTGAACCGTTCTAAAACAGATATTTGATATAAACTGGAATGGGCAGAAATTGGAAGGAGGAGAAATATTATCATGATAAGACATATGAGCCTGAGAATTGAACAATTGGAAAAGAAAGAACAAACCATTTTTTTTAAAATTACAGTTAATAGAAGGTAGAATAGTATGCAGAAAGAATAATTAAACATCTAGCAAGTGGAGACCCAGAAAATAATAAAGTAAAAATTCTCTATGATTTAAAAACTGTAGATCTTTGTTTTAGAGTATAGTTTTTGTAGAATATTAGGGAATTCAATCTTTTCCTAAATATCATGGTATAAGTGATAAAGATAAAAAGACAGTTCAGAGGTGTTCACAATAAAATTTCACAGGCCTCGTTCAACTAATTCATAAAACTTAGTAATCCTCACACACTTTTAGCTATGCCTCCTTCATCCTAGTCAATTCACACCCACACACACACCTGCTGCCACTAATTTAATTCCAGGCATCCACAAAGGTAAATTAAATCCTAAACCTTTTGACATCTTGAGACAATCAGACTACTGCCTAAGACATTCGAAATGATACTATGAGGAGAAGATTAAAAACCTTACATACTTAATTCAGTCTCCAAATGGTATAAAGTACCATTTAATAAATTATGCCTCAGGTATATATTCAAATATTTGAGATACTACAAAACTAAAAAAAAAATTAGTGTTTTACTTTTAGTTGTGCAAATGATGGATGGATAGACATAAAATAGTTCTTTAGACATGAGAATTCTTTTACTAAGATGGGACTAAATGAAATTGCACATCACTGATATCTACTAAGAAAAGTCATGTTATTATTGTCCACAATAAGCATGTATCAGCAGCCATAAGATCACTACCAAATGTGTTTTGCCTGGCCAATATTTAGCCTTTCTAAGTCTAGTCTCCTTTGGTGAACAAGGCATGATTTCCACCCCACCCTTCTTTCAACTTCAGCTATATATGGGTCCATCAAAATAATTTTCTAAAGAAAAACAATTCTCTAAATGTGGTACAATTGTAAAATTCATTGTGCTTAGGGATTAGATTTGTTAAATTCAGAAGAAGAGGGGCGCTTGGCACTTGCACATTACTGGAAATTCCCCAAACAGACAACAAAAGCTCAGTCAGTTTAATCAAATTATCAGCTTTTCCTCAGTCTGTGTTTAGTCTGTGTTTGTCTAATGTCCGGGTGCATATTTTCTACTTAAGAAAATCAATAAATCTGCTGCTTTTTAAAAAAGGCACATTTCAAATGCAGTATACAGCGTATTGCACTATCTGATCCAGCAATCTGTCTGCCTCTGCCCCACAGAAGGAGTGAACAAGAAATATGCCTGGTGGGTTGATGAGATGGTTTAGAAACTCCTATAAGAAGGGGGCAGAAAATGATGCCACTGAGATGAGCACACCACTCACTTCAACAAGGAAGTGAGGCATCAACTGCACACCTGAAATTTCTTTATAGTCTCTTGAACAGTTATAAGCATCATAGGCAGGTTTATGACATCTTAGCAAAGAAGCGGCTAAATTTGATTTCTTGGGTAGAACACTTATCCTTATAACGTTATTTCATTGACATACTCTTACTTATTGTATGTATTTTGTGGACCAACAGCAGTTTTCCCTTTATTAGTTTTGTTCTGTAAATATTTGAGTTGTCAGTCAAATAGATAATATTTAATTTCCCAACCATGAGAAATTATCATTTTGCTTCAATAACACTTTTTCGTATCTAAGTTGCTCTCCAGTTATCTGCTATTGCCTTTTTATTTGCAGAAATACTTTATACAAAAATAAGCACTTGTTTATGTAAATTATCTTACATAATTAATAATTTTGATATGTAAAGTAAGTTTATATTTGTTTTACAAAGATTATTAATTAAAAAAAAATTAAAGTGCAGGGTTTTTTTTTCCTTAGACCTAACCAGCGAAAATTTAGAACTTTAGTGGTAAAAATTTTGTTTATTTATTTGCATAGATTAACTCTGACTATTTGAATTAGTAAAGGTTCCCACCTTTAAAAATGTATTTAAAAATTTTATTTTTTAAATAAAATTCAAAAGGCATTAAGAAGAAAAACTCTTTGAGAATAATATAAATCCCCCCTGTTGACTGAAACATACATACTTACCAAATAATAGATGTTACTTTTCTTAACTATCAATAAATGATACACTGATAGAGATAAGTTCTTGCATTAGAGTTTTTAGAACTTAAGTTTGCTCACTATGATCCTTGGAAATGAGCTTGTCATACATGTCTTTAATCTCAAAATCAGCATTGATGTCTCTAAATAAATTAGTTTGAACAATGACTGTACACCAGATTTGGTTGCAAGAGAGATGTTATTTATTCTTTCTCCTTCTGTGCTTTGGCAATGAAAAGATAGGAGGAAATAGCAAATTCATGAACCCAATGAATATGTCAAATATTAATAATTGCCCAAGTAATTTAAAAGACTTTCATTGATGTATGTGTTTATGTTTATAGGGGATAATGACTGAACAAGTTCAGTGACAGAAACAGACACACCACTTAGAACAGCATCCTGAATCAGTTTTCCCGAATTCACAAATTTTGATTAGCTAACTCTCTCCCCGCCCCCAACAATAAAGGGCAAATGTTTCCTTTGTTTATTATAAAAATGCAAAAGTCACTGTCATGAAATAAATTTCTTGCTTATTTCTAAGGACTTGGGGGGGGGGGGACATCTCATTTTTAGTGTGCAAGTCTTCCTGGATTTGTTCTGCTTTTTCCCTACTGTTTATGCGAAGAATTTCTAGTCAGAGTGAAAAAAAAAAAAAAGAAAAAAAGGTGTTGCTTGTGCAGAGAATCCGTTTAGTAGAGCAGGCTAATAGGCTGACCAGTCATTAACTAAAACACAGCTGGGAAGAGGCTATAATCCCCCAATTTCCTTCACAAATGCAGTAAATAAATATTCAAATGAAGCAGTGCACAAATTTGCATATGTGTTAAACAAAAGCCCAGCTGAAGATTTGATTTTAAAGCTCTGCTAATGTTTCTCCCTTTCTACCTACAATTCCTCTACCTGGAGAGTTTGTGCTTCACAAAAGTCCCCATGTTTCTCCCCAAATAGAATTTCCTTTTACTTCAAGAATTACCTTAGAAATTTCTTTTTTTTTTTTGACCCTCATTAGCTGGTTCATTGAACCCCAGTTTTTAAAAGAGAATAAAAGCCACCTATTATTTTAATTTTATTCCCCCCCCCATTTTTTAGGTGTTTTCACCTTTAATATCTTTAAGTATAATATTTCATTGGCACACCATTCTGCAGGTTCATGGGCAGTACTCTCTTTTTGGACCCCAGAGCAAGACATACTTAGGAAAGAAAACTCAAAGGCTTTACTATGGGTACAACTGATTTGTTAACCCCATGGCTTTTAGGAAGGAGATAAAGATCAGCTTACTGAATTCCTCAGTCTGTCCTTTGAGATTTCAACCAAATGATGTAACATAGGATGCCGTTCTGGTTAATTATTCCTTAGAATGAGCCTCAATATCGTTACAAATTCCCCATTCTGCCTCTGCTTTCCCTCTTCTGCTCTTATTCCGTGATTGTAATTTCTAGAGTTAGATTCTAGGGCACACCTGACCTTAGGCTCTGCTGGGTTGCTTATCCTGAAGCGTTGTGAGTCCCTCCCAAGGTGAAGAAATATAATTAGAAGAAAAAGAGATCATTCAGTGAGGAGCCTAAGGTAAGACACAAGGGGTTACTTTCTCAGGGAAAAAATAGATTGCCAAAAAAAAAAAATTAACTGATTCTAAAAAGAAAAAAAAAAAGACTTCTGCAGTTAAAGAAAGCAGTATGTCAAAAATTAGCAAGGTAAATTGACTTTCACTTGTTTTCAACACTGCTTGTGATTCTTAGCAAGTCTGACTCTCCTCTCCCTAAGTGGAGAAAGAAAAACAGGAAGACAGTAGCCAGAGACCCAGAGAGTTCTAGGTTAAACTGAATTTGTCTTTTTTTTTTCTTCTTGTTTTAAGAACTGGGCTTTCATTTTACACACACACACACACACACACACACACACACACAAACACACACACACATCTATCTATCTGCATATAAATATAACCATTTTCTATATATTTTTTCATGCTACATATAAACATTTTCTTACATTTAGGAATCATACAAACTCTCAGTAAAATGAGTTGCATAGATGTGAGGTTTGGATCTCATCATAAAGAAACAGGTTAATTATGGAAACACTAAATCAGAATTGGGTCTTTGATATATTTTCACATAAGTAATAGATGAATTATTTTTGCCAAGCTGTACTTAAAAGCATGAGAGGAATCTTTATTAGTGTCTTGTTAGTTACTTGCTAAACAACATACTAACTGTGATATTTAAAAGCAAGTGTAGCTTAAGCAATAAAGCTTTTTAGATCTGAGATAATAATAATAGACTGTTTTCTTTTGTATTCAGTCACATTTTAAAAGTATACTTTTAGGGAGCAAATCCCTACCACATTAATGGACATGCTTTGTATTTGAACAAGACCATGTCAGTATATTTTGTTACCCTTTTATACAAGTAATTGTTTTTTCTTGAAGTAAATAAAAAGTTTAATACCATAAGGCTAGTTCAAGCATATCTTCTCATTAATGTAAAAATCAAGTTGTGTGACTTATGTTGTATATCTAGGAGCATTATTTTGAAATGAATCTTCAAAGCTATGTATATTAAATGGCAAAGTAACAGTATGGATCTCTTTGGTTTTTCTCTGAGTCCTATTCTTCGCTCATTTCTTTAACAGGTCATTAAACTATGTTTTCCTGGTAAGCTATAGTGGACTACTCCACAAAGTTACCTTATTTGATCACACTAGGTTTGATGAGAATAAGCACCCAGGGAACACCTGTTGAGTTGAGATGCAGTTCCTTTGCACCTGCCTGCTCTCCCTGCTGAACTTTTCATGAAAAGCGGCTTAAAAGTAGAAAAGTGGCCTGAGCACTTCTGATGATGTACCTAAAAGATTGTAGTGAATCCAGTGGCACGAGTTCATCCACAGTCACTTTTTTGTAGTTTCTACAAAAATTGTACTAGAGATGCTATTTGAAAAAGAATTATAATGCTATTTTCTATTTGCATAGGATGACAAGCTACATTTTTCAGATAAAGTCAAATGAATTATCTGTTTTGATTTTCACCCATTCCCTTTTCTTGCTTTTATTATTGTTTTTATTGTTTTAAACAAACAAAAAAGTTTTTCATAATTTCTTTTTCCTTATTTTACCTTTTTTTTTTTCTCTAGTGTGAGTGGCCATAAGTTACATGGAATTATGCTGTTATGTGTTACATTGGACCTTTTTAATCAGCTGCGTGTCAATGACTCTGGAATTCATTTAGGTAATCATAAGTTGTGAAGTGACAAAAACTACCAGAGAGGGAACATTTTAGTCCGTGTGGCAGGGAGATTTTCATCAAACATTCTGTCTGAACAAACGCATGTCCAACAGTCCAGTCTGAGGTCACAGCTGCCCCAGAATTTGAGTGGTTGGAGATATTTTGGGATGCTTTCATTAGAAGGTACAAAGTACAGTTAAGAAACAGGCTTGGGGCGCCAGCATGTGATTATGGCAAGACGGGGCTGACCACTGGGAAATTTCTGAGCCAACAAGCCAGGAGTCAGGCTGACCTCCCTGGAGCCAAGTCCACAGAGAGCACCACCCAGCACACCTTCTTAGGGGCAATCTGAAGCTCTTGGTGTTCAAAATACTCATCTGAGCAACAGATGTTTTTGTAAGACAAAAGTATTGTACATTTGCAAATGTTCTGTTTATGAATCTTCTTGCCATTCTATTTTTAAAGGTGATTGTATCCCCCCCAAAATACCCTTATATTTACTTTAGAGTCTTGCTGCCTGTCTCATGGTGTTGGTAGAGGGGGTGTGGGGGATAGTCGTTGCTATAGAGCTCTAACCACTATGCAGGAGTGACTTTCTTAGCCGACAACACGTTACCAAGAGCTTACTCAGGGAACCATTATATAAAGCAGGTATTTTTAGAATTCTTACATTAAATGCCATTTAAAGCTTCTGGGTAAAATTTTAATTTCAATTTCTGGGTTAACAAACTATTTCTTTCCTTCTTAACTCTTGTGATTTTTGCTTCTTTTGCTGATTGTAACACCCAAACTTAATTTCTCTCTCCCGATTTTTAAGCACTCTGTTTATACAAAGCATGGAATAGTTAAAGTGAAAAATAATTTAAAGAAGGTGTCATTTGATAACCATGACAACTCAGAAGGCAATAAGAAGAAATTTGGAATCTAATATTTGCTTTATGAGCAGAAGAAAACCTGGCAATTGAGTCCTCAGTTACCTGGCAGAGTTAGAGCATGGTTAAAATAGAATAAATATTAAGAAAATAGGAAATATTAATATGATAACTTGAAAAGAAAAAAAACATGAGAAATCTGCTATCTTTCACTTTTTATCTTCTTAAAACATCTTACAAAGTCGTTCTACCTGAAAACACAATATTATCCTCTGAAATTCCTGTAGTCATCAGTTCTCTGACATTTCTACCACTCCCATCCCAAATACACACAAAAATACCCCTCCAAGATGTTTGGATTAAGCAACAATGCATATGTTTTCTTAAAATTACAGAAAAATAAAAGAGAAATAAAATGCTAAACAGGTAAATTCATTATGAATAAATTATATTAAAACATTGACTCAGGGTGTAAGGGATTTCAATTTAATTCAACTTGATTTAAGTAAAGCCCTTGAGCTTTTACAATTCAAAATTAACATTTCAAGTTTGGATGCTATTAATAAGCAAAAGGTGAATTGCACATCAACCAGGACAGACTAAGCTCAGAACAGTAGTGACTGTGATTGTCAGAGTTCTGCGAATGAGACAACATACCAATGATAATGAAAACTAAGATTTCTCCAGAAAAGACAAATCTATATAAATAAAGTCCTATTTATTGTTTCTTAGTCTGTCTTCATGTGGGGACATGTGCCTGTGTGTGTGTTTATGTGCATGTGCCACACATTTGCCTCTTCTCTAACTTATTTCCTCTTTTATTGTTTTTTTTTTTCCTTTCCTCTTTTAAATATATCTTAAGGTCTTCTCCAGCAATTCCAGGCCATCTGTCCTCACCGTACCAAATAAGCATTCATGGACACATGGCTGCCTCCTCCAGACTGACAAAGGCTCTTTAGTACAGCGAAGAGAAATGACCCAGCAGCAGTGGTGAAGAGGCCTAAAAATATTTAAAGTAAAAAAATAACAAGACCCACCAACTTTCTCTTTTCTTGACACCCCCTTTTATCTTAAGTTTATTTCATGTTTTATCATTGGAATCTGCCCTTACAGAATGCATTTGCATAATTGCCTACCAAATTAGATATAAGCTTATTTTTAAAGGTGAAGAATCCTTATATCAGAAAAGAAATTAAAAATGTTTAATTTCCTTATAAGAAATGGCTGCATATATTCTCATATAGTACAATAGGAAAGGATTTAAAAGACAGAAAGGTGATAGATAATGTATATGAAGAAACTCCTAAAATTTCTACTTCTATAGCAGATACAAGAGGTTTAAGAGATATGGGGTTTTTTTCTGTTTTTTTTTTTTTTCTTAGCAGTTTAATAAGAATGCTTCCAATGAGAAGATATGCTTTTAAATAACTTACATAAATTCTAAGATAGTTAAGACACAGATTTTTTTTTAAAGTCACAGGATTAAAATTTTACATAAAAGAGGTTGACTCATTTTACAATTGACCAGTCTTTGATTTTTTGCATGCTCTATAGAAAATCAATTTGTTTTATTCCCAATGAATATTGTTTTCTTTTATAAATTTGTTGATTTATTAAAGCATTTTATCTAATGAAAAATATTTTAATTGGATGTAAATTATCACTTTATTTTTTTCACAACAGATGCTGTGTGAATTACATGAACTTATATGAATTTCTGAGCTACTCATAAGTATTCAGAAAACTGCTGAAACCTGTTAGCTGAATAGAAGATAAGATATCCCTATTCTCTTTATGAACCAAACCTTGCATATGTAAAAATCATTAGGCATTTTTTTCCCTTGAAACTTAAGAAATATATTTATAAGCAAATGTTTCTTCACTTATACCTACACTATATAGGCTTCCACTTATATTGCAAATTGATGTCTTCTGTGACTTGAGTTTTTTTTTTTTAATAATGGCTAAATACTACGTATCATGTATCTTATGTTAAAAGAAAAGAATCCTACTCATAGTTCTTATTATAAATAGATAAGACCTTCATAAATATTTCCTTAGTGTGCTTTTGGCTTTCCTTTAGTTAGCTGGAGTTAACTTTCTAGAAGGCAAAAATATTCTTTAAAATGTCCATAATAAAAAAATTTCAATAAATTTTAGAAAGAAAATAATATCTTTTAAAATGGACCTTGAATTATGACACCAAAATTACATTATCCCATTGGTATAACAAAACGTTAATCAGGCTTTTAGAGAAATTATCATCTCACCTATCTGAAACACAAACCAGGATTTCTAGTTTCACAAAATGTATATCATGGTGGATATGCTAGTACATTGGACTTGTAAGGACTCTGTCATTAGTGTGTAGAGTGGGTGGAGGAGATGAGATGGGGAAGAAGGAACTGAATTTAGGTGGTGCTGAATTTCATTAAGAAGCAAGTGTTCATCAGTGTGTGTCTTACATTGTTCAATGGTTTTTATAGAATGTTTTCCCCACTTCAAAAAAGTCTAGTGGGTGTTCAGTAGGTTCTTTTGTTGTTCAATCTGTCAATTAGAATTCTGCAACAAATCTTAAAAAGAGGAACAAAGTATGATAGAAAGTTCTTACTTTAAAACTTAGAAAATGTGAATGCCACTTTTGTGGCATTGTGTATAAGCAAAAGAGGAAAAATAACCACAGATTTTATATAAGTTTAAAAAGAAGAAGCATGGCGCTCTCTGAGAGCCTTAAGGCTGGAATTAGAGACAGGTCAAGGACCTATGTGAGAAGAAGGCAAGATCAAAGCAGCAGAACTCCACAGATAGTAGATAAAATGTCTATACATTTATGGTTTCATTTTGGCTGACAAACCAAAAGAGAGAATAAATTACAGCTCTAACTCAGACTTTTCCCAAAACCTAGATAAATGGGTAGGGATCAAGGGCCTGCTTCATCTCTAATATATCAAACCATTTAAAAGAAAAGAAAAGGATATGGGAAGAAAGACCAGGAAATGCACACATTTGCTTTTGAGGATCAGTTCAATCCTTCCTACCTAAGATATAAGCCCAAGCCAGCTGTCCAGCATGTAGGGCATTTCTTGTAATTATTCTTCTCATTGATTTTTTTCCTTATTATTTCTTTTCTCATTCTTTTTAGTTTATCATGAAAAATTTCTAATAATTTTGAGTGGGTGAAGATTTGGAACCATACATTTTTTTCTTAATTTCATAGAAAGAAAGCAATTGACCAATTACTTGAAGACAACCTGCTGAACTGGACTGTAAATCAGTGAAGCAGCAATTTCACCCTTTGGAAAATGACATAGGAAAACAGAGTAACAATAGGCATCAAAGCTAAACAGATCTACATTATAAATTCTTACTCCATTTGTTACCCTCATGACATCCACACTTCTCAGAGGCTCAGCCTCCTTTCTGATCAGGGGATAATAACTGCTTTATTATTGGATGATAATGAAAACTAAACATGATACTAATATAGAATGCCAAAAGAGGTTTGGGGCAGAGTGGGTGCTCAAAAAATGTATAGCCCCCACTTCTGCCTACCTCCACTTGGACTCCCTAGAACCACATGACCAATATAATCAACAGAAGACATGAGTGCTCAGAAACTTTCTGGAACAATCAGAAATGGTTTGAGATATTTTTAGTATTGAAGTCAACATCTTAATTAAGAATCTGAACAATGAGAAGATAATTTCCATGTTTAAAAGGTGCATGTGGGTAACACTGGTAAGGGGGTTTTTCTTTTAAAAATCCCCTACTCAAAGACACAACCATCATGAGTTCTACAAAGGTATCAAAATTATTGTTTTCTTTAAAAATTCCCCTCAATTCGTGTATATTCAATACCAAGGTATGGACTCACACAGAAGAAAGTATAAATTTGGAATATGAATCTGTTCACTTAAAATTCTAAAACGATTATAAATAAAATTTATAAGTACATGGATTTGAGTAATAAGAAAATTTTTATTATTTAACAAAATAACACTGAATTTATCATTATTTGACAGTGAAAATGAATCTATATTATTTTCAATTAAGGAAATTATGTCATCTATGGCAATAAATTAATAAATAATTTTAAAACTAAAAATAATTTTCAAATTACTACCTGTATTTAATATGTGATATTACCTTATTTTAGCCAATTATTTCATTTTTGTGTGATTAAAGATTTTTTTAATTTTAAATTTCTAATAGGAATCTCTGTATTAATATATGTGATGAGAATGAAGTTAACAATTACTGAATGTAGTGTAAAGCCATTATTTAATAGAAAATGTGATATTCTTTAAATGAGAAAAATCACACCATATCATAAAATTTCATAAAATTTTTAAATATCATTTTTGTAGTTTGAGAAAAAAGAAATTACTTCTGATGAATAATATAAAAACATGCTTTGTCTCTATTTGGATTTTTCTGGAAGTCATAATGGTCTTATTCCAAATAAGTCTATAAATGTAGAATTTCATTGTGGTTAAATCTGGACAAAGTATGAGCAAATATAATTTTGTCATTTATCATAATTTATAAATTGAATAGCTCAATTTCTAACAAATCCAGGAATTTTTTTTTACACAAAAAACATTCACCATGTTTTTGTGCATTTCACCAAGTTCTCAGAACCAACACTAGAGTCATTGTCCTGCCTTGATCACAGAACTAAGCAGAGAAACACAGAAGCCTGCTTTGAAGTGGCATGTGTTCCATTTTACCTGTATTACAAATGGTCCAGATATTCTTTGGAGCTTAGATGTTCTTGAGGGTACTGATATCACTTACACTAAAAATTCCATGAGATCAACACATAACTTTGCTTTTCCCATACAGGAGAAGCAGTCCAAATTACTGTGGAGAAAGAAGCACAAATTTGAGTTTCTGTCTGAAGAACATATAATCTTACCATAAATCAATCCATAGGCATTTTATCTAACTCTAACCTAGACAGAAACCATCTACCCTTTTCTGAGATTTGAAGTATTATCTACATTTTAACATCAGATCTAAGAAAAGATAAAGAAAATCATTGTTTGAATTTCTAAAAATCACATTAACAATGTAATCAGAATAGGCTGGATTATACTGAGATGTTGTCACCAAAATTGGAGTAGATGAGTACAACAACAGCACATCTCTTGATGGTGTTACATGTTCATCACAGTAGAACTTGAGAACTCTGTTTCACTGCAAGCTGATGAACCTTCATTGTCTGGAATACTGTTGGTGGCTTCAGCTATGGAAATGAACAGAGAAGTGAATTTTCTCTAGAAGATCCCTTCTCAAAGTGACACCTGTATCCTCTCTCTGTACATTTCACTAACCAAAGCAAGTCATTAGGAACATGAAATGTGTTTCATTGCCTGAGGACAGGGAAATGCAATTTAACTAGTAAACAAAAGATGAGTTACTAGTAGATATCAGAAGAGAGAGAGAGAGAGAGATTAGAGGGAAAGTTATAATGGCTTTTGTCTGTTTCCCTTGTTGTTTACAATTCATTTCATTTTAATGATTATGTAAACACACCATATTAATGTGATTAAAATATCCTTTGAAGTTCATTTCAGACAAAAGGTAGCCCCCTGTTCCCAGACATCCATCTTCTGAATGATTTTTCACAAAAGAACAGCACCAGAGAATAGTTGAGCTTGCAAAATTATAATTTTTTTTTCTTGCAATAAAAATTCTACAGTCTCAGTATCTGAGTAATACTATAGGACACCACCTTCCCAGTTTATTTTTTATGTTCTTTCAGTCTTTCAGTTGAAAGTTAGGGCTCCTGTTTATCCAAAAATGTCCTTGGATTGACATCACCATTATGGCCCCAGTTGTTATTGCTGTGCTGTTGCCAAGGCAGCCAAAATATAGACCTAGGTTCAAAGTAGTAACTGGGTGTGTAAGAGCATAGCCACTTCCACTCTCATGAATACAGCTGCTTGAATGTGACAAATGCCATTATCATCGTGGGTCTTATTACCTCAAGCCACAAGGTGCTCTCTGAACAAATGCTCCATTTTAACTGTCAGATTCTGGAATGTGTCACATTTTTTCTTTGGATCTTTGGGTGATTGTAACAGCTGTTTGTAAACATTGTAAAGCCCACATTAGCTAAAGAATGGATAAGAATATTTTGTCCCAAATGTCTGCCCCCTGAACTGTGATAAGGAATCCAGCCTGTATACTGACACTTAAGCAGTAGGTTTAAATAGCAACCAGTATCAACTTCCAGTTGAATAAGTTAATAGGCATTTTCAGTTTCTGACTCAATCTGGGTCAGTTTTCTTTCATCTGTGGCCTAAGAACATTCAAGGGTATTCAGATCTTTAATCGGGGGGGAAAAAAAGTGACATACCAGCAGGTATTTCCAACAAGATTTTGGCTGAGCAATATTTTCACTAAGAATCTAATATATCCTTATTGACAGTTAAAAGTTACCAGTGCTTGTTTAAGAGCAGTCCTTTCCTTTAGAAACAGGCACATGAACAGCTTTAGAATTTGTCATGCTCT